AACTTTTGACATTTTCATCTAGAGTACCATGGCTGTGTTAATTTTTAATCAAGGAACTTTAGAAAAATAGATTTGATCGTCTAATGTCTTTCGTGCCTTTTCCTGGCCGGTTAAAAGATACCCAAATTCTCGTTAGATTTATGTCCATATCACACTTAACTGAAATCTAAAATGCTATTTTTTTAATTGAAAATATCTGAAGTTGGAATATGATATATCATTCTATTCAGAATATCATTTTCTATCAAATTTTTTTTTGTTTATCACATTTTACCGACGATATGGTTTATTTTAAATTGTAACATTCGGATCATATTGAAAATTTGACTTGAAATAACAAGTGTGTGGTACCAAATTACATATTCGTAGAAAAATGCATTTTTCAAATATGCTTATGAGCCACCCTCTTCCCATTTGAAAAAAATTGAGATATGATTAAAAATACGATTTGGGCATCTTATAACCGGCCAATACAACGACAATACACACGAAAAATACTAGATCAATAAAATCTATTTTTCCAAGGCTCGTTGATTAAAAATTAGTGTTTTTAACACAGCCATGGCACTCTAGATTAAAATTTAAAATATTTTTTTTAAAGCGAAAATGTCAAAAGTTGATACGTGATATGTCATTCTATTCAGAGTGACATTTTCTATCGAATAAAGTAAAAAAATACCGAGGGTGTCATTTAAAAATCAAAAGTTGTAGTAATTTCGCTTGAAACAGGAAGTGACCAAAAACAATTAAATCTGACAATCAATCTTAATTTATGTCATATACTAACATACCAAATCTCGTTTTTTTTTATTTTGAAAAATAAAAAAGTTATAGGGGTGAGCCACTTTTGGGACGCACCCGGTATACAACTATAGCAAATCTCGTTTTTTATCTGAAAATTTTAAAAAGTTATAGGGCTGAGCCAATCTTGAAAACCACCCGGTATACGTAACAAGAAATTGAAATTATATTTGTTACGTTTCAAAAAATAAATTGGTTATTAAATTGGAAGCTAGAAAATTACATACTACGAATTTAATAGGACCGAAAATATTAATCATGCTCCGTACACAATGCACTGACCGTCATTACGCTAAACGAAAAAGGGTATTATGTTCAATCGATCAATATAATAGCACAGGGAGACGCTCGAGGTGGTAAATAATCTAGTTACGAAACAGTGGAAATGTCATTCAACTATACAAAACTGATCAATACGAAATAGACGTTGTTGCAACCATTAATTTTACAAATAGATTGTCGTGTCAAGAGACTGACCGATAGTTTTTTTGTAAAAATAGACACAAGTCGTTAATAAAAATTAATAAACTCTATCTAGAACGTTAAATTTATGACAAATTTATGAAAGAGATCGTTAAAAATAAATAAAAGTTCGATTATTTATGACCTAGAATTTACATTTTATTGGTATTAAAATACTGCGTGTTAGTATTAAAGAAATGTGTATCAGAGATTTAAAAATTATGATATATTAATTGATTTCTCTATACAGAGTGTCTCAGAAATAAAAGTATTTTAAGGGGTGGTAGAAAAGACTCATTTAGAAAAGACATCTTTTCTATTTACCATTTTTAAAATTAAATGAAAATATTTAACTAAAATACAAAGTGTGTGGTACCAAATTATTCGTAAAAATATCTTTTTTCAACTATACTAATGAACCACTCTTGTTCCATTTGAAAGAATTGACATATGATTAAAAAGACGATTTTGGCATATAAAATATTAGATAATCAAATCTATTTTTCCAAGACTCCTTGATTATAAAATAGTGTTTTTAACAAAAGCTATGGCACACTAGATTGAAATTTAAAATACGATTTTTTTAAGCGAAAATATCAAAAGTTGACATGTGATATTTATTCTATTCAGAGTGAGAGAGAAAAAAATACCAAGGGTGCCATTTAAAAATCTAAAGTTGTAGTCATTTCCTGTGAATTAGTAAGTGACCGAAAACAATTGAATACGTCAATCAATCCTAATTTATATCGTATACTGACATACCAAATTTTTTTATCTGAAAAAATAAAAGAGTTACAGGGGTGAACCACTTTTGAGAAACACCCGTTATTTAATTGATTAAATTTTGACTAGCCTAAATTATACATTTTCAGTTTTTTTTATTACTTCATATAAACAATAACAAATATTTAATAAATCGCTTGAGGCCAAAAAAAAACAAAATTCTTTTGAAAGGAAAATTATTTTTTCTGATCTTTAGAAATTTAATAAAGAAAAGTTGTTTTATGAAAACAAAAACATGGAAAAAATCCCTTGATGGATGATTTTTAAGCTTTGCCCTGTTTTATATTATTAAGCTTCTTATTTTTAAAAAGCTTTTCTGATTTTTATTATTTGATACTACCTACTTGTAAAACGACGTTTCTAGTACAGAAATGTCTAAGCCACAGAAATCTCTAAATCAAGAGTGTTTTATTAATTTTTTCTTATACAGGGTGACTCTTAAATATGTGCAAATATTTTCAGAGCTGGTATATCTCGATAAAAGAAACATTTTTTCTCTGTACCGTTTTTCAAATAAATCTAAAATAACCGAGATACTTGAAAATTTCCAAAAAAATGATTTTTTTATAAAATTTTGAAAACCACAGGATCTTTTCTGGATTTTCTTTCTTGTAAATTTAATGTACTACCTATGTTGCTATATTTTCAACAAATTATACTTTTTAACTAAAAACTAAAAAAAATTCCAAAAATTTAAAATTTTCATTTTTTTGCAAAAAATAACACTTATTTAAAACTCATCCTGTATAGACAGCATTTCGAGAATTATTCTACAAATTAGATATTTATCTCTTCTATAATTAATTAGGTCAATTAAAATTTAGCCGATTTTTGAGCGTGAGCCGAAAAACAAGATGCTTTAATTTAACCATATTTGGCCCTAAACCAATGAACAATAACACGCGCAGTCAATTTACTAATCACTTTTCGCTCAATTAATCATCCTAATCAATTATGGGCAAGGACCCTTATAATTTTTTAATACACAAAAAGCAATATGCTACAAAGAATATGAGAAAATCTGAAAAAATGTTCTGAGAGGTTTTAGATTAAGTTTTTCAAAATATTGATGATAAAATCAAATTTAAAGGTAGCAATTAGTATATAACGATAGCTAAGCATACATAACTGTGTTGTTTTCGTCACTTATTATAAATAAAAATGCTTTAAGTGCTTTAAAAATTGCTATAGTACAGAATTTGAGTAAATAACATTGTGCCAAAGGTGAATGGTATTAAATTATTTATCATAATTAATATATATATGATTCGCACTTTTTTGTTACATTATCAAATAAACTTATATCTGAAAAATAATAATGGACATGCAAAAATTAAAAGAAAATTCTTTATTAGATATTTTTTTATTGGAGAAACAGTTCAGCTACGTCGAAAGCCAGTTCTCGATAGATCACAGAAGATAAGCGATGTTAGACGATGCAATTGGATGGACGGGTGACCTCTGGAAACTCTGTCGTGCTATTGTTTCATGGCAAGTGTGTAAAATCTATTTTACACTAGACAGACACTGCTCATTTACGCCGGTTCGAGACCGGATAAGATCGGATATCTCGTGACTAAGACTCGATTTAAGCGCAGGTCATTGACAATGATATGGCCGAAGACCGCGGTTCGAAGTCCCCGTAAACAAAGTAGACCCCGTCCAGCTTAGCCATAAATTAAGCAAAAAGAAGACGTTAACTTAGAATACTATTAACTTCATCAAAACTTTCGATTCTCTTTTTTTATTCCTTTGTCAAATTTCATCTAAAGTAACTGGGTTATAAATAATGTACAATGTCGTCCCTACGAGCCGTAGACACCACTATTTTATTTTTAAAGTTTAATCAGGAACACATCGAACCCTACTGATGTTTTTTTTCTTCAGGGAAAAAGGAGAAAATAATGGAAAAAACTCCGATACATACACGGTCGTTTTCTATATTTTCGTCTGGTGCGCCAGTCGTAAATTGCAATGCCGGAGGCGCTTCCTGCGGCTCTGCTATCGTTAGTGTCTGTTTTTTTTCTTTTATTCCTTTGTACTACATATTTCTTTCCATTTCTGTTATTCTCTTACCTGTAGTTGAAATATATAGGATATAACATATGTTGAAATAAGGGTGTTCGTTTATGTAAAAAAAGTTTATAAGGGTTTTTCAAATAACATATGCCATATCTATTTTCTTTTCAATTTTTTATATCGACATAGGTCAGATTCTCCTTTGTTTCGTATCCGCAGGGGGTTAAAGTCATTTTTTTTAAGTTGTCTCCTGATATTTTGTTGATTGCGGTCTAAGGGTTCTACGTGTATAAACATGGGTGCAGAAATGCATAGTTTTAAAGTTACAAGATGTTAAAAATTTTAAAAATAGCTTTTTGTAATGATCTTAGGTACACTTATTTTTTTTTTAATTTGTTGTAAGTATTTGGGTAGCACTATACATTGGCTTTATAAATATAAAAATGTAAGTAAATAACTTATTAATTTAACTTTTATTTTAATTTTATTAATTGTGATTAATAAAAGTGCGTTGAAAGCATCAAAGAGATCGAAATCAACAAAATATTAATATACAACTTGTAATCGACATTAAACGGTCACAATACAATAATGCTAACAATAAAAAAATCACTGACGTAATTATAATAACATTACAAAACAAAATTATAATAAATCGAAAAAAAATTATTACTTTAACACCCGTAGCTACAAATTTCTTATTTTTACATTAGGAGTTCCTTCCACGAAAGATGAAACATGTTTTTTGAAATACACGGAATAGATTTTTTTTTCAGGAAGGAATAAAATACACTAATTTATCTTAAATAAATTTATTTCTTAAGAAAGTATTACATGCTTTAAAAAGTTTAAGATGAAAATAGGGAGGAATATTTCTACCTTTTTGTCTCTAATGGTTGTAACAATTAATTTCAATATATTTTTACTCTTTTTAGAATCTACAAAATGAAGATTTTTGTTAGTACAACACCGCGAACCAGCTTGTTCTCAAATGACGCAAAAACAATGCAAGTTTAGGACAGACCCATCAATGGCCATTCTGGCCAGCCCTGACCACGTTCGTGGGTCAGTTACTTTAGGACATAAAAGTAAGTACATTACTGTTTAAAAATATTTACCGTATGATAAAAAAACGGCATGCAGTTTAGTTAGAAATTATGAAATTTTAAATATTTTACATGTAAATGAAATCAATCTTTATTTCAAAGACATCTGTATATATACATACTGTAAAAAGAAAGTTTCCTATAGTAAGTCTTAAGTATATATTGGGTCATCATACCCAGTTCGCCAAATGAATTGATTAAGCTCGAAAAAAAATTAATCATAAAAGTTTGATTGATTACCCTAGGATGACAATTAAAGCGTGGGATATAAACGCTTTACGACAAAAAATAAGTAATTAATATTTTCTTATTATAAATCAATGTCTAATTTAATCCAACGCCACTTGAGAGGAATCTCATGTTTAATTATAATTCATATTTGTTTATAATTTTTCTGTAGCTTCGGAAGTGCTACAGTTACTCTAAAAATATAAAGTATATAACCTGCAACCAACGTTTTGTTTCTTTTAGTTTTTAGACTTCAGATAGCTTTTAGAGTGCTGATTTAATTTTATTTTTGATATCTTTGCTCTAAAATTTTATGTTTTTTTTTTGTTTTTCATTCAATTTTGTTCTTCATTCATGAAAAAAAGCTCTTTTCTGCTAATACTATTGATTTGTACAGGGGCTCTTCAGAAACACGTTTATGAGTTTTTCTCCTGGAAATGTATTTTTTTAAATTTTTGTATTTTTGAAAACAATTGGATTTTTTTAGTTGTATTTCAGTTTCATCTTTTCGATAAGTTATAAGGTAACCATGATACAAAAGCGGTCTAAAAATGCCATATTTTTACATTTTGCCTGTTTTTTTGAGAACTAAGCTGCCTGGTACAAAACTTTATGTAACATTTTTAGTTTCAGTGATATATAAACCACATCTTTGCATCTCTACTCTCTATTTATAAACGAGAAACCTATATACACAAAAATCGGACACTATCCTGTAGAAATTTCTGTTTAAACGTATTTATTATTTTAACGTGTAGATAGAACATGTATATGCACCAATGTCAATCTGATTCAGCTACCAAAAACAGATACACCCGCATACACATGTAACATAATAGATACGCGATATTATAGCATTGTATTGTTTGGTCGTATCGGATTGACATCGATTTGGCTATTGTGCCCCTGATCGTGTTTTAATGCGTTCCAGGATTTGATTGTGTATTATACAGTATTACAGTGTATCAGGAATAGATTAATAATTGTTTTTTTTATTCAATTCCATTAAGAAACTAACTTGGTCAAATGCGAGTCGGACTCGCGCACGAAGGGTTCTGTACCATTCATTATCTATACAACATTGCTGAAATTTTGAATGCGTGTATAAGTAATTTAAAAAAAATGAAGAAACACATTACTAAAAATTGTATTAATCAATAATAAATATGTAAAAAGTAAAAATAAATATGTAAAAATGTGTAAAAATTAAAAAAAAAACGATTAAAAAAAGTCGCCTTGACTAGAATTCGAACCTGCCTTACTACGGCTCCAACGTCATAGCAGCGTAAAGTCCTAATGCTTTAACCACGCGGCCACCGAGGACTTGAAATATTCTATGTAAAATTCTTACTTAAAAGATAATGTTTAGTGAAAGTACTTTTTTATTTATAAACATTTATTTAATTCTGTTTTTAGTACCTATTTGTTCTTATAGCGGCAACATAGATACATTATCTGTAAAAATTTCAACTGTCTAGCTATAACGGTTCATAAGATAGACCTTTGTGACAGACGGACGGACGGACAGCGAAGTCTTAGTAATAGGGTTCCCGTTTTTACCCTTTGGGTACGGACAGGTACAGATGATACAGATCCTAAAAAAAGGACAAGCTTATCCTCTTTAAGTTTTCGTGGAAAATATTGCGAATATTGAAGGTTTGATTTTTTCAAATTGCTGGTTGCTGAAAAAATTCCACTGTAACTGAAACCACATTTCATTAAATTTTTGGCAACGATTGTGGAAATATTCCGGCTATCTTAACTACATATCATATCTGGATAAATAAAGGTTGGGCCAGAGTAAAAATAAAATATTCTGATCCAGACCTAAAGTAATTATTTGCCTGTTTGCGTTACGCCGGCCATATCATTAGGGATATTAAAATTAAAGGAAACACTGCGGCTTGTATATACGGGGGTTGGTTTTATAAATATTTTCGTGCCAGTTATTTTTAGCACCACTAGGGAAAACAAGGTGTATTTTTGACGTTATGTGTCAGATAAAAGACAGCAAACATGAATGAGTGTATAGTGGTAATTAATAACAAAATATCGTGTGGTTTGATAAATTAGATACAAGTTCCATTAACAGACCAAGTTATACCGGGTGTGTCACAAAAGTGGCTCACCCCTATAACTTTTATATTTTTTTTAGATAAAAAAACTAGATTTGGTTTGTTAGTATATGACATAAATTAGGATTGATTGATGTATTCAATTTTTTTTCGTCGCTTCCTGTTTCACCGGAAATGACTACAACTTTTGATATTTAAATGGTACCCTCGGTATTTTTTACTTTATTTGTTCGAAAATCCAGTCAAACCAAAAGACAGTCTGAATAGAATGACATAGTATATGTCAACTTTTGACATTTCTGTATATGGTTTATTTGAAATTGTAACATGTGGTTCATAATGACAATTTGACTCGAAGCGAGAATGTCAAAAGTTTACATATGACATGTCATTCTATTCAGAGTGTCATTTTCTACCAAATAAAGTAAAAAAATACCGAGAGTGCCATTTAAAAATCAAAAATTGTAGACATTTCCGGTGAAACAGGAAGTGACCATAAACAATTGAATACGTCAATCAAACCTAATTTATGTCATATTCTAACATACCAATTTTCGGTCAGTTAGCATTAGTATTTTTAGACAAAATTGATCAGATAATTAATAAAAAAAATAGAAAATTTACAACAAGGTATAATGTAGCTTGATAACATCAGAGACAATTTTTTAGACGTCTCTAGATGCTGGAAATTTTATTTCATAGCGGAACTTTACTAAGGGTGTTTATCACAAATCTATTTAGAGGTATTTTTGTAAAGGTAAATCTTTAAAGAGAGAGAAGTTGGTGGGTGAATAAAGTTTCAGCTTAAACTTCAAAAAAGCTTCCAAGCTTTGAGAGCCTGCAAGGTGCAATGTGCTTTCCTTCTTCAAAGGTTCATTGTAGGTATCCTTTATATTTTTAACATATAACTAAATTCAAAGGTGTATGATTTGTTGGGTATTGATAAATAAAAATATGTTATTATTGTTATTTATAGGACACGAGGTTGAAATCAGTGGTGTTTTTGGAGTTACTCCTGTAAAAAAATTGTGTATTTTGCCCCTGAAGGTAGAAAAGAAAAATCTAAAAAAAGATAATATTTTTTTAAAAATTCAGAACAAATTTTTCAAATTTTAGATCAGACATTTGTAATATACAGGGAGCAACAAAGTACAAATATTTTTAGGGGTGGTATATTTCGACCCAAGGAACACGTCTGTGAATTTTTTTTCGCAAAAAGAAAATTTTGAAAATTTGGAATTTTTTTAAGATTTTTTTGGCGACAGAGGTAGTGAATTAAATTTACAAGAAAGAAAACTTTTCAAGACAACAAGAGAGAAGTTTCAGTGGGTCTCAAAATTTAAGCAAAGAATTATTTTTTTTGAAATTTTCAAAGTAAAATAACTTGATTGTTTTGGACTTTTTTGAAAAAATATGTTTCTTTTACCGGTATCTACCAGCTCTGAAAATATTTGTACTTATTTAATACTTGCCCTGTATAACTATAGTATACTTAGCTATCCATTTATCCATTCTAAACGACAAAAAATGACAACAAGGCCATTAAATCGCCAAACTTCCTAGACTACTACCATTATTATCTCATAAAACGGTGTAATGCATATTAATAGATGTTTTAAAATTAATTTCCTCGTCGTATTTCATTCGGCATAGTAATAGCGCCATCCAGCGGACGATTCATCAATCTTTTAACGTCACACAACGTCATCAGAGCCACGCTTTGAAGAATATGGATGGCGAGGTTGTTGGAAGTATAATAAATATGCTATTAAGCTTATAGTTTTTTTGTATATTTAACCTTCGTCGATTCAAATTAAAATTGATATCTTTTTTAGTTGGATAAATATAATTATTTTAGCATGTAGCATGGTAGCATTTAGCATGGTAGCGTTGAAATATTGGAGAGGGGAAAAATGTAACATTTTAAATTTTTATGCTTGTAGTAAATAACTTTTTTATTATTTCAGGTAAATAATCGAGATTTAATGCATGGGTATATGACATAAATCAGGATTGATTGACTTATTTAATTGTTTTCGGTCACTTCCTGTTTCACCGGAAATGACTACAATTTTTTATTTTTAACCGTCACCCTTGGTATTTTTTTACTCTAATCGATAGAAAATGACACTCTGAATAGAATGACGTAACATACCTCATTTTCGCTTAAAAAATATCGTATTTTGAATTTCAATTTACAGTGCCATGGCTATGTTTGGGGGAAAAACACTAATTTTTAAACAAGGAACCTTGGAAACATAGATTTGATCGTCTAATGTTTTTAATGTCTTGTCCTGGCCGGTTAAAAGATGCTCAAATCGTATTTTTAATAACTCAATTTTTTCAAATGGAACGGGGGTGGCTCATTAGCATATTTGGAAAAAACATTTTACTGCGAATAATTTGGTACCACACACTTATTTCTATTCAGTCAAATTGTTATTACTTTTATGGCCATGGGACTCTTTTATATATGAAGGCATTTTTTACGTAAAAAATGGTACATTTTATACAGGGACGGACGAAAAGTTATTACTCTTCAAACCATTTTATAAAATACGTAGAGAGCGCCCTCGAAGAGTAGGAGTCATATTGATATGGAAATCAAATTCTCATGTCAAAAAACATCCAGACACTAATTTTCATTTAAATATCGGCATTATTATTATAAATTTATAC